GGAGGTTTCAGAAGTTCTATTATCAAGAAGTAGTATTTCTTTTTTTTTTTTTAATGAGTGGGGTTTTAATTTGCCTGAGAAATCCAATTTCATGTTTAAAATTTTGGGGTTTTAAAAATTTTTTTCATTTTTATTTTTTGGTTTTTTTGAGTTAGAGTCTCACTCTTTCACCCAGGTTGGAGTTCAGTGGTGTGATCGCGGCTCACTGCAGCCTCCGCCTCCCGGGTTCAAGCAATTCTCCTGCCTCAGCCCCCTGAGTAGCTGGGATTACAGGCACCCACCACCACACCCAGTTGTTTGTGGAGATTTTTTGTATTTTCAGTAGGGACAGGGTTTCCCCATATTGGTCAGGCTGGTCTCGAACTCCTGACCTTGTGATCCACCTGCGTAGGCCTCCCAAAGTGCTGGGATTACAGGCGTCAGCCACCGCGCCTGGCCAAAATTTGGTTTTTTAACACCCCACTACTGGTGCCACGTGGTGGTTCATGCCTGTATTCCCAGCACTTTGGGAGGCCGAGATAGGTGGATCATTTGGGGTCAGGAGTTTGAGACAGCCTGGGCAACATGGCGAAACCCCCTCTCTACTAAAAATACAAACATTCGTCAGGTGTGGTGGCACTCACCTGCAATGCCAGCTACTTGGAGGCAGAGACACGAGGATTGCCTGAACCTGGGAGGCACAGGTTGCAGCGAGCTGAGATTGTGCCACTGCACTCCAGCCTGGATGACAGAGTGAGACTCTGTCTCAAAAAAATAAAAAATAAAAAATAAAACACTCTACTACTAAATTTAAAGTTTGAAAACCCACTAATAATCTAAATTCTCACCAGGATAGTAATGTTAGACAGGGCATGGTGGCTCATGCCTATAATCCCAACACTTTCGGAAGCCGAGGCGGGCAGATCACTTGAGGTCAGGAGTTTGAGACTGGCCTGGCCAACATGGTGAAACCCTGTCTCTACTAAGAATACAAAAAAATTAGCCAGGCATGGTGGCACATGCCTGTAATCCCAGCTACTCTGTCCTGGGCAACAGAGCAAGACTCTGTCTCAAAAAAAAAAAATAAAAAAATTAAAAAAGATAATAATGTTGGTGGCAAGGCCAGATACACCTCACGTACGGATAACCTGAGGTGTTCTAACTAGCACTCACTGCCTCTCATGAAAGGTCCAGAAAGGCAAGGGGGCAAAATCAAGTTTTTTGAGTTGTTTGTTGTTGTTTTTGAGACGGAGTCACTGCAACCTCCACCTCCCAGATTCAAGCGATTCTCCTGCCTCAGTCTCCTGAGTAGCTGGGATTAAAGGCGCACGCCACCATGCCAGGCTAATTTTCTTAATTTTAGTAAAGATGGGGTTTCACCATGTTTGTCAGGCTGGTCTCGAACTCCTGACCTCATGATCCGTCTGCCTCGGCCTCCCAAAGTGCTGGGATTACAGGTGTAACAAAATCGAGTTTTAAGAATACCTTTCTTCAACTCCCTTCATTCTCTACATGGGCCATACAAGTTATCTACCAATATTTCACTTACAGTGTCCAGCTGAGCTGTCTGCCATTGTCCAAAGACCATTAATTTGTTCATACTTTCTCTAATTTGTTTCAAGTTCTCTGATTTGTTTCCTCCCTTATTAAAAATTTGCCTTGTGATACATTACATCACACAACTTCTCTTGACCAGTTCTAGTACATTAAACTGTCTATATCTCACTGGAAAAAGCCTATATCACATGGCAAAGTATTTGAAAATATAGAAATAACCTTTCTTCAGAGATGCTAAACAGACCTGCAAGTTTAGAAATGGATTGAAACTACTAAAAATGAAGAAAAAAGTCAAAAAGAAGGGTGGGCGCGGTGGCTCAGCCTGTAATCCTAGCACTTTGGGAGGCCGAGGCACGCAGATCACCTGGGCTCGAGACCAGTCTTGCCAACATGGTGAAACCCCATCTCTACTAAAACTACAAAAATTAGCCAGGCATGGCAGCATACAACTGCAATCCCAGCTACTCAGGAGGCTGAGGCAGGAGAATCGTTTGAACAGGGGAGGTGGAGGTGGAGGTTGCAGTGAGCGAGATACTGCCACGGCACTCCAGCCTGGGCAACAGAGTGAGACTGTCTCCAAAAAAAAAAAAAAAGTCAAAAAGAGGGACCAAATATAAAGCCTGAGAACCTCCCAAACCAGAACTTGGTCCCAAACACACCTCTGATGTCCAGATTAGGGGTGCACAGTTCTGATTGGCAAGATAGTCCCAGTAACTCTCAACTGCATTTACACTTTGGTCTTTAGGAATGTACCTGATCTATGCAACTGTTTCTAGTATTTTACAAATTATTCAAACAGTTCTTATAGAAAGATACATACAACGACTGATGTGAAGCTTGACAGGATTAAAAAAATAAAACTGCAGAATACCAGAGTAGAAATGCTTCTCAAGAATTTAGTCCAGGTCAGGTGCGGTGGCTCACATATGTAATCCCAGCACTTTGGGAGGCCGAGGCAGGCAGATTGCTTGAGGTCAGGAGTTCAAGACCAGCCTGACCAACATGGTGAAACCCTCTCTCTACTAAAAATACAAAGAAAGTAGCCAGGCGTGGTGGCACTCGCCTATAATCCCACCTGCCTGGGAGGCTGAGGCAGGAGAATGGTGAACCCGAAAGGCAGGGGATGCAGTGAGCCAAGATCCCGTCACTGCACTCCAGCCTGGGAAACAGCAAGACTCCACCTCAAAAAAAAAAAAAAAAGAATTATTTAGTCCAATCTCCTCATTTCACGCACAAGAATACTGAAACACATGATTAAGTAACTTTCCCACAGTCTCAGGGCTAGTGGGAGAAACTAGATTTTCTTTTCATTACCACTTTCTATTCTACGAAGTACTAAATATGATCACCACTCAGCTTTCGTCACACGTTTTGGCATTATTCAGATGTTCACTTATGCAACACAGAAGGCTTAAAAAACAAGCACAACTATAAACAGGTCACCTTAACATGACTTAGGAAAAAAACACACCCAAGATCACAACATGTCCCACTGCATTCAAAATGTCTCATAGTGCAATACCAAGAATCAGTTTCCAGCATTTAACCATTATACCAAAACAAAATTTTACCCGATAGCATTTCTTGTTGGTTATTTAGATATAAATGATTATAGGTTCATGGGTATTAAGCCATCAGCAATCCAGCCCTAAACACCAAATATTAGCTCCACTGTTATTTTTAGCCCTTTCTAAGTAAAAACTTTTACCTAATAAGCCAAAATAACAAAACCCAGAGTGCTAATTTACCAAACTTGATAACAATAAATACTTCAGAAAACAATGTTTAAGTATGCCTTGGTAGATTCTAGGTTCATAAATCCAAACCAGATATGCCTTCGCACCATGGCATATGTATATACTGCATATCTAAAAAAAGCTGTTTGCGTCCCCAAAAATGGTAGGTATTCTCCCAGCAAGTCTAATCCAAGTGATTAAAATGGGGAATCACTGTAACAAAGTGACTATTTTTACTGTGCCTGAGTAACACAAAAACCTAGGAGTCTCACTTCAAAAAGCATTTGGATTGTAACTATTTATGAAGTATTCTTTTTTTGACTAAACGTGGTTCTCCCTGTTGCATTCCTGCTTCTGCCGCCCCTCACCCCCATTCTCCTAAGGATCGTTAACACCAAAAACTTCTTTATACTCTAGTCAGGAGGAGAGTTGTTAACCTTGACATTTTATGATCACTCTCTGAAGAGGGCAAATTACATGTTTCAGTTTTGCTTCTTTTTAATTTTAGTTCCCACCCACCCCTCAAGTGGAAATGAGAAATTTGTCAGAGGCTCCTTAATAATTGACAGACGAGAATCATCCAGTGAAGAAATATGGACAAAACTATTACAAAACCCTGAGTCATCACTCAGTTCAATCAGTAGATTTGGGTAAACACTGAATGAGTGACTTACGTCTTGTGTGTTCGCCCATCCATACCCACATGCGTGAACATACCATGTTACTAGATTTTATGTACAGTTAACCAAATAAGATACAGCAAAATTATTTCTTAAAAAGCTCTTCGGACACAGTAAAGATGCCCACCCAGCAGGTAAATGTAACCTTTCCTCCCCCACTGTATTTTTATTCTTTGTTTTTTGGTTTTTTTCTAATTTCAGTGACACTAGAGTTTGAAGCTAGTTTACAAACAGAACTCCTGAAACTGATTCAGGTAATCTATGTTAATCTGAGTAACTCAAAATATTAACACAAGCCTGATACGAGTATCGCCGTGGACATCCTGACAGTGCTCTTCCCTACTTTCCTCAGTATCTTAAAGGCCTCTCCAAAAGAAATGTCACAACAGGAACAACACACAATCCTTAGGATCTTAAACAACATTGTCCACATTAACGTCTAAGACGTTAAGCTCAAGAATGAAGTCTGACTTTAAACCAACCTTTTCGATCAACTCCGCCAGGTCTGAGCGGGCCCCAAAAAAGCAGAACCCTTTAGTTTCCCAATGGTCTCCTTTCCATTCAGAAAGTTACTAGACGCCAACGGAGATGTGAAGAGGCGGGGATCGTAGGGGAAGGAAGAACCGGAGGAAGCAGGGAGAGAAGTCACAGAACTCCCCCAAAGGCAAATCCTCTCTGCCCCGCCTCTCCTATGCGCAAAGATCCACGGAGGACCCTTGGGAAAGGCTCACCTCTCTCCCTCGGGGCCGGGGCCCTTGGGCTCCCCAGGTCCCCCCAGGTGGGAAGACAACAACCCGAACACTTCGGGAGAAGCAGATGGAGAGGACGTGCAGGGCTGGTGAGGACCCGGGAATCCCGGTAAGAAAGTGTCAGGGAGGACGGCTTGAGTACTTCAGAGGCTCTGTCACGACCCTGGGACCACCGCTCGGGGACAGCTCCAGCGAGGACAGAGCTAAGGGTCCAGTCCTCTGGACAAAGAGCACCCATCCCCGACACCTCTCACTACGCCTCTGCCCCCGGCCCGGCCTGCAGGCCCGGGCACACTTACGTGGAGAGTTTCCTGGTCCAGAAGAGGCCCCCGGGCCACAGCTCTTGGAGCTGCACCGCCCGGCCCAGGTTGCATTTGATCTGGGCCAGCTGCAAGTCGGACTCGGCGTCTAGCCGCTCGGCGTAGGGCAGCAGCTTGTTGTAGACGATCTCTTTCTGCGGGACGAAGCCCCGCGGGCCCGGCTCGGGACGCCCGCCCGGCTCCGGGGGCTCTCCGACTCTCGCCCGTTCGGCCAGCTCCATGAGCCCAGGGACACCCCCCCTACCCCCTCCCACCCTAACCCTCCCCGACCCCCACCCCTCTCCGGGCTCCGCCTCCTCCGCGTCTTCGTCGCCCTGCGGCCGCCGGCGGCCCGTCGCCCTCTGACCGATCGCTAGGCCCCCTTCCCTGGCCGGCGTGCTGCTGGGCCCCGCGCGGTTCCCGGTTCGTTGGCGGCGGCAGCGGCCGCTCTGCCCGCCCCGCACCGGCTCGGCTGGTGACGCTGCAGCCGCCGGGCTCAGAGGTTCCGGACCGGTCTCAAGTCACTTCCGGGGCGGGGCGGGGCGGAGCGACGGCGTCGGGGGAGGCGGTGGTGGCGGCAGCTGGAGCCCAGCGGGCCGCGCCTTCCTTGCCGTGGGCCCGGCTCGGAGCCCCCACCCCGGGCCTCACCGGCCCAGCGCGAGGCTGCCTCACCGGAAACACGAGGCCGAATTCCAAGCTATTGTCCTGCTTCGCCGGGGGTCGCGCACTCCAGGCGGCGCCCACCGGAGCCCCAGTCGCGGCGACAGGTTCGCCAGGTCGGCCTGGTCCCTCTAGCCTAGCAGCCCCGGCTTTTAGGTTACAGGGATTTATGGAAAAGCCTACGTACCCACTTGCTCCTTATAGATTTATTTACTCCTTCCCGCTTGTTCCTTATAGATTTAATTATTCTGTCCCCTTTAAGTCCCCATCTTTCTGGTATTCTGGCCGCCATCATTCCAAGGAAGAAAATCGTTAACTCACTGAATAAATGCTAATTGAACAACTGTTTTGTGTGTAAGGCACTCCGTTTAGGCTATTGAGATGGAAAGTTTACCCTGGTTTCCGCCCTCCCAAGGACTTAGTCTAGCAGAGATAAAGACGTGAATTACAAGATAATGCTCTTAATTGCTAGATAAGTACAGGAAGCCTTAGAAACTCTACAGAGAAGTTCAAACTAGAGGGTTGAGAGGGTGTCAGTTTCCTAGAAGTGATACTTAAATTAAGCTGTAAGAGTTGAGTGCAAAGTTGATTAGAAAAAGGAGGGAAGAGAACACGTATTTAACTGAGAGAACAGTTCTTGAGGCTGCAAGCATGTATTCTAAAAATTCAAATTTCAAAATAGCGTAAGAGAGGGGACGGAGAAATGAGACTGAGAAGGAAATCCTAAGGAATTCAGAGCTTTATCCTAGAGACAAACTTCCAAAAGATTTTAAGCATAGCAGTGGGATGATATAATTTACATTTTTAAAGAAACACTCTGGCGGCCGGGCGCGGTGGCTCACGCCTGTAATCCCAGCACTTTTGGCAGGCCGAGGCGGGCGGATCACCAGGTCAAGAGTTCGAGACCAGCCTGGCCAACATGGTGAAACCCCGTCTCTACTAAAAATACAAAAAAATTAGTTGGGCATGGTGGCGGACGCCTGTAATCCCAGCTTCTCGGGAGGCTGAGGTAGAAGAATCGCTTGAAACTGGAAGGCAGTGGTTGCAGCGAGCCGAGATCGCGCCAGGGCACTCCACCCTGGGCAAAAAGAGCGCAATTCCGTCTCAAAAAAAAAAAAAAAATTCACTCCGGCTCTCTGGCTTCGTCTGGAAAATTGGTTGCAACTGACAAGATTGGGAACTGGAGGACCCCTTAAGGTGTGACATAATTATGGCCTGGATGTCAGTTGAAATTGAGAGCTACTGCAGCAGAATGGCTTGGGCTTAGTAGTTGACTGAAAGTGGAAAATTAAAAAGGAAAGAGACAAGATGACGCTGGGTAGATAGGTAAAGTCCTTCAATGAGATAAAGAACACAGCAGAAACAGCTTGGGAGGCAGAATGCCTATGGGATGGGTATGTTGACATACGTATCAGGAGGGGGATCTAAACTGAGATATGGATTAGTGATGACAGGAGGGAAGGAAATATACAGTATGAAAAAATAGGGCCCTTGACAAATCTCTGAGGAACCCCACATTTAAGGACAGACAGAGAAAAGGAAGATAGGCCACAAAGAGTATTCACAAAAAGCAGTAAGAGAGAGGAAGAGTTCTAGGAAACTAGGCATTACTAAAACCAGAGTGTCTCATATGGAGAAGTGAACAATCCTACCTTAGGCAGCTAACAGGTCAAATGAAGTGAAACCTGAAAAGGGTTTATTGGATAGTTTATTGATAAAGCACATAAGAACAGTTTCATTGGAGTGTAGAATGGAAATCTGATTATGGTGACAAAGGACAAACGTGAAGTGAATAAATACAGGCAGCAAATATGGACAATCTTTTAAAAATGGAGTAGGAAAAGCAAGAAAGAGATGAGGAGGTACTTGGAATACAAAGAGGGATTTTTGAATGTGGGATATATATATGTGTGTGTGTGTGTGTGTGTATATATATATATTTTTTCTTTTTCTTTCTTTTTTTTTCTTTTTTTTTTTGAGTCTCACTCTGTTGCCCAGGTTGGAGTGCAATGGATCCATCTCGGCTCACTGCAATCTCCGCCTCCCGGGTTCAAGTGATTCTTCTGCCTCAGCCTCCCAAGTAGCTGGGACCACAGGTGTGTGCCACCGCATCAGGCTAATTTTTTTTTTTTTTCTTTTTCAGTATTTTTGGGAGAGACAGGCTTTCACCATATTGGTCAGGCTGGTCTGGAACTCCTGACCTCGTGATCTGCCCGCCTTGGCCTCCCAAAGTGTTGGAATTACAGGTGTGAGCCGCTGAGCCCAGCCATATTTAGGTATATTTATATATGGATGAAAAGGAGCCAATGGAGAGAGAAGTTAAAGATACGTGGGTAAGGACGACAAAGAGTGGGAGAGAATATGGAGTCATTGACCTTTAGAAGTAAATCAAACTGCTTCTGTTGTCATAGGAGGAAAGCAGGGAAGAAAGGATAGGTGCAGATGCAGGAATGTTTGGTACTGGAAGTTGAAGAAGTTCTTTCTATAGTTTCTATTTTTTCCTATGAAACGAGAATGAGAATTATGGGGAAGTGGTAGGTAGATTTGAGGAAATTGAAGAAGGCCTCGAGTAGTTTCAAAATTCAGAGAACTGATTTTAAAAGTTAGAATTGTTTGTCAGGTAAGGCTGGAAGCTTGAATTTACTATTATCTATCTGTCTGCACATTTTAGTGATTTTTTTCCCCAATACTATTTAGCGGCCAAGATTGTGTGACATATAGTATATACTAGTGACATACTAGAATGACAAAAGATCAAGAGAATGTTTTTTATGTTGCTAGTAGTGATGGTAGTGGTGTTAGCTACCATTCATTGAGCATTTCTTTCTGCCAGTTCTTTACCTACATTATCTTCCTGAATTCTCTAGAGATAATTGAGTTGCGAATATTTGAAAGAGAGTAAAGTCTAAGTTTGGTTAAAGTGTAAGTGAAGAGAGTAGAAGCTAATAGAGAAGGACTAGAGAGATGTCAAGAGACTTACATCCCGATGAGCTATAAGGTAAAGATGAAAGGATTCACCTGAGCAAGGGATCTAGAAAAATAGAAATGTTTGGATTTAAGATTTCAAAGAGACCAGCCTGGCCAATATGGTGACACCGCTTCTCTACTAAAAATACAAAAATTAGCCTGACATAGTGGCATGCACCTGTCATCCCAGCTACTCGGGAGGCTGAGGCAGAAGAATTGCTTAAACTGGGGAGGCAGAGGTTGCAGTGAGCTGAGATCGCACCACTGCATTCCAACCTGGCGACAGAGTGAGACTCTGTCTCAAGAAAAAAAAAAAGATTTCAAAGAAGCAGTCCCAGATGACGTTGAACTCCCTAGAAAGAAACATATGAATTGGAAAAGTTGAGGAAATTAGGGGAGCAAGCAAAGTAAGGTTTCTTCCTGTAATTCTAAATAAAGTTTCACGGAAAACACTATCGAAATGCTTCCGGGTGAGAAAGTTAGAAGACCTGTCTTTTGGGGACCTGGTCTGCTCATTAGTGGAGACAGTAATCCAAAGTCTGGGGTGGATTTTCTCTTCTCAGTCCAACTTGTTATCTCTTAAAGGTCAGGAGACTCTGCCAAAGGATAACAGCACGTTATCCTTTTGAGGCTGGGCTGGGTGGCTCACGCCTGTAATCCCAGCACTTTGGGAGGACAAGGCAGGCGGATCATGAGGTCAGGAGATCAAGAGCATCCTGGCTAACATGGTGAAACCCCGTGTCTACTAAAAATACAAAAAATTAGCCAGGCGTGGTGGCATGCGCCTGTAGTCCCAGCTACTTGGGCGGCTGAGACAGGAGAATCGCTTGAACCCGGGAGGCAGAGGTTGCAGTGAGCCAAGATCACGCAGCTGTACTCCAGCCTGAGTGACACAGCGAGACTCTCTCAAAAACAAAACAAAACAAAACAAAAAACAGGACATTATCCTTTTAACCAGACCCGGAGGGAGACACTGACTTCTTATCAGACTCCTCAAGGAAACAGACTATAATCACTCTTCTTGCAAGACCCAGAAAATGCAGTGGCCCTTCAAAGAAAATATTCTGAAGAGAGAGGTTCCTTCTCAAGCTGGAGGGATTAGCAGAGACAATTTTCAATCAAATATTTATGTCTTTCATGTGCTTTCTGGACCACTAATTAATAATCCACTCATTAGCAGTGAACAGAAAATGACAGATTGTTAGTGTCACATCTTGCCCATCTTGGTTTTCTCTGTATATATGATATACTTGGGGCTAGAGATATATTGGCAAGTGAATGAATCTCTGTTGCCAGAAACATAATCTTTTTTTTCTTTTTTAGACAGGGTCCCACTCTGTCTTCCAGGCTGGAGTACAATGGCACAATCACAGCTCACTGCAGCCTCCACTTCCTGGGCTCAAGTGATTCTCCCACTTCAGCCTCCCAAGTAGCTGGGACTACAGGTGCACGCTACCATGCCCGGCTAATTTTTAATTTCTTGTAGAGACAGAGTCTCAATATATTGCCCAGGCAGGTGTTAAACTCCTGGGCTCAAGCAATCTGCCTGCCTCAGCCTCCCAAAGTGCTGGGATCACAGGGGTTAGCCACCGCACCTGGCCAGAAACATAATCTTTAGAAATATTTGA